TGACATTTCTTTGGCCCTGAGCCCAACGCAGTCTGTACTTCATGAAATATATTGTACATTTTACATAGTTTAATTTAAAAAAAATACATTTTAAGCTGGTTGATCTTTGACTGCCTTATTTATTATAACCTTTCAGCACATTCCAAGGTTTTAGTTACTCAGGAAGGAGTTAATTAAAATGATTTTTATTTTGGTCTGATGGATGTTTTTTAAAAGGAAAATTATTATGAACCTTCAGCCTACTTTCCTGGAGTGCCGTAAAAGTGCTTGTAAATCTCTCTCTCTCTCTCTCTCTTTTTTTTTTTTTTTTAAGAAGAAGAAAGAAAAAAATGATGTTTGACATGGTTGGAAATTCAAAAATATATATGGAACTGAAACATTAGCTTAGCTAAAATAAAAGCAATCTGTGTTTGAGATGAAGTGTTCCTTAACTTATTCATTATCCGTATAAATAAATGAATATAAATAAGTTGAAATTTTTTTTCCCATTCTGTTGATAGTTGGAAATAAAGTGCCTCCCATTCCTCACAGCACCCTCTGCCTTCTTCACTGGCCAAACTTTTTCCATCAAGGTGTGACTTTTTTAGAAAGATGTATTTTTTTTTAAGACCATAAACTCTATTCTTATAATTGGATGACACCAAAAAAAACTGGCTGAAAAAATGAACTAGACGTGAGGCCTTCATTCATTTGGTTGTGTGTATACAACCCAGAGCGGCTGACTTTATCCCCACGTGCCCTGGTCGGTTTCGTGTCAGGTGGTTCAGCAGAAGCCTCAGGACCCCGATGGCGGGGGTCTCTGCCGCACACAGCCAAGGAAGGATAAGCCACAGCATGCCTCTTAGCACGCACCCTGATCTCTTTCTCCGACAGGTAGAGCCTCAAAACCTGGGTGATTCTCACCTCCCAAGAAAGCAGTTTTGATCCAGAAACACTCTCCCTGTGAAATGTCATAGCTGCATCCAAAGGGACTTGCAGGGCCAATTGGGTTGCTCAGTCGGTTGAGTGTCTGCCTTCGGCTCAGGTCATGATCCTGGGGGTCCTGGGATCGAGTCCTGCATGGAGCTTCTTTCTCAGGAGGGAGTCTGCTTTTCCCTCTCCCTCTGCCCCTGCTCGTGTGCTCTATCTCTGTGTCTCTCTCTTGCTCATTCACTCTCTCTCTCTCAAGTAAATAAAATGTTTTGAAAAGGGGGGAGGGACTTGGAGAGAGTCAGGGAGTCCCCAAGCTTTCTAGCTGTCTGACACCATGTGCCAACTACATGTGGCTATTCTGTAAAAGGAAAGAATCAGGATCTTGGTACTAGATGAAAGAAAAACCTATTTTGGTAATAAGCTGCTTTAAGTAAGAGTCTGAATCTCAACAGGTGACAAGTGGTTACATTTATCATTTAATTTGCTCTGTAACTTGGTCACATGATATTTGGCTCCAAGTTATCTTTATTTTTTTTTAAAGAAACAACTTTTGCCTTCTTTTTCTTTTTTTAAGATTTTACTTATTTATTTGACACAGAGAGAGAGAGGGAACACAAGCAGGGGGTGTGGGAGAGGGAGAAGCAGGCTTCCCGCTGAGCAGGGAGCCCGAGGTGGGGCTTAATACCAAGACCCTGTGATCATGACCGGAGCTGAAGGTGGATGTTTAATGACTGAACCACCCAGGTGCCCCCCTCCCAGTGATCTTTAAAGACAAAAGTACTAAACAAACCCAGGTCATACCCCCCACTGAGTTGTTGTTTGGTCTGAAGTTCTTCATAAATGTGCTGTCACCTAAAAGTTCAGCCAGTGAACTATTTGACTTGAAGTTTGTGGCAAATGGTAGGATTTCTCAGAAGGCAGAGTGATAATCCGTAAGCGTTCAGAACAATTGTTCTGTGGGTCAAAATTATGAAATTCTCTTTAAGTAAAAGTAAAGAGGATTTATTTTACTAAAATAACTTGCTTCACATCGGGTGATGAGGCAAATAATTTTTTTTTTTTTAAAGTATGTTGACTATCCTCCAAAAGAAAAGCCTGTTTTAGGCTAAAACCAATATTAAAAGTCTGTTAAGAAAAACACATAGAACTTCTTTCACAGGAAAGTCCTCGCGGCAGAGTTCAGTGTGTTAGGGCCATAGACTGGCTTAAACAACAGACGTTTATTTTCTCACGCTTCCGGGGGCTAGAAGTTTGAGATAAAAACGTCAGCAACATTGATTTCTCCCAAGGCCTCTCTCTTTGGCCTGTACCTGGGCATCTTCTCCCTCTGTCTTCGCATAGTCTCACCTGTGTGCGCCTTCACGTCTGTGCCCGAATTCTCCTTCTAGTAAAGACACCAAACAAATCGGATTAGCACCCATTCCTATGTCCAAATATAGTCACATTTTGAGGGGCTGGGTGTTAGGACGTCAACATATGACTCTTGTCATATGTCAGTTCCTCTCAGAACACCCAGATGATAGCAGAAAAGCTAGAGCAGAGCAACTGACCTCTAACTAGGAGAGAAGTGAGCCTCAAATCGCAGACCCCCTCCGACTGTGGTGGGACTCAGCGGTCATCTGGCCCTTGTCCTTATTTTATACATAAAGAATGGAAGGTCCAAATGCATACAAGACACAAATACATCACATGCTGACTTTTTCTATTGAGGCTTTAACTTTCAAATATCGAACAAATTAAAACTTTAAAATGATGAGGTCGCCAAAGTCCCTTTGCTGACGTCCCGGGATGGGAAGGATAAATCACCTTCGGCTTCATTCTCTACCCCTGCCACAGGACACCGCCCCACTGTGAGGCTCTCCCGGACGTGGGGCCCATGGGACCCCCTTCCACCGAGGGACGCTCCAATCACTTAAGTCCTCAGAGACAGATGTTGCAATAAACCTGTTTCATTTTAGATGTTTCTGTCTACTCAAAGGATTTGGGCCACATGTTGACCCTCTCAGATTATAGAGTTTTATTTCTCTTCAAAAGCAAAATAAAGATTCACATTCTACTTCCTGTAAGGACCTGCCTCAAAAATAAAGTCAAATACAGCCCGTAAAACCAGTGGCAGGCGAGTACAGACTTGCTCCTGGGACCCCAAGAGAGTACCCAGGCCCTGAGCCCTCCCCAGCCTCTCCCCTCACCCGCCCACTGCCTCATGCACTAGAGAATTCCTTTCTGCATAGGGCAGGCTTGGCTCACAGCTCCCGGCACTTCTGGTTCCTAAGGCCCACAGGTGTTCATGGGTCACAGAATTGTGAACTGACCCCTTGTGCACTTTGGCTTCCAACTTGTCAACATGGGGATTCCCTTTTTTAAAAAAAAAAAAAAGGAAGGGAAGAAAAATCACCATGCAAAGGAAAAATGTGAGCTAAGTTTTTCCTTCGGAATCTTGGCGTGTGAGTTCAGCTATCTTCAATCTGGCCTTCGCCAGACTGTGTATGCTTGGAGCAGGCACAGAGCAATCTGCCTTCCGCCATGCAGCCAGAACATTCAGACTTGACCTGTAACACACCTCCTGTCCCGGACGTGAGCAGAGACAGCCGGGAGGTCAGCCCCTGCAGATGCAGCATGGGGCTGTGGGATGCGGGTAGAGAAGACACTAGAACCCGGAAGCAGAGCGGCTGGCTGGCTCAGGCAGAGGCTGCACACCAGCCAAGTCTCCGAGTTCACCTCCCAGCTGCTCTGTTTCACGGGGCGCTGGAGTCAATCCCTTGACCTCTCCCTGCCTGAAGTCAGCCCAGCTGGAAAATAGGAGGGCCACTGAAACCCAAGAGTTGCTTCTGGGATGAGCTTTGTCCCCACCCCCCTTCACCCCCATACGCTAAGAGAGACTAAGAGCCACAGTCCTTTTGGGGCTGAGGAATGTTCGTTCTATCCACAAAATGCTCTGTCCTCAGCAAGACAGCCTAGAGTTACACATAAGTCTAGATCCATCCACGCCCCCAATCCCTCACATCTGCATGTGGGGCCACCTAACCTATGAATGAGTCCGTGGAGAGCGGCACTTCAGAAATGTGAGTGGAGCCGGTAGGACTAGGCACAGTCTAGGCCCTTGTCTGTGGGTATTCTTATCCTGTGCCATTATCCAAGAAAACCACTTTACGGATTTCTAGTTTTCTCCAACACTCTCTTTGGGAGGAGTTTGCCCAGCTGTGCGTTACAGGAATCCTCTCTCACTCACAGCTTCGAAATACACGCATCTTCCAACTTCTTTCAAGTGCCCTGCGTATCTGAGACCCTGTTGAGGACAAATCCTCAAACAGCCATGTCAGTTAGTACAGGCTGTGCACAAGAAAAGTTTTCACAAATGTTGGAAACCCCATAGGATGGACTACTGTACTTTTTGGAATCTTGTTCTCAACATGGCATCACTGCTCTGACATTTTGGGAGAAGTCTGGTAATGATTTCGTGGGTTGATGATGTGTATGGTGCAGCCCATCCTTCTGACTCCTTTACAGGACTGTCATTAGGGGACTCTAAATCTTTTGGGTTACTAATTTTTCATTGATTACAAACTTCTTTACTGTCACCCTATTTGCTCCTTGTTTCAAATTTACCATCTCCTTTCCTCCTTTGGCATACTTTCATATTTGCTCTCCACCTTTGATGGAAAGTTAATGAAGTTCTAATTCAGTGCGTATTTCCAAAAGATAATTCACAAACCAGGTCTGTGAGATAGGCATGAAAAAAAAAATCCTTGGGTTAAACAAGTTGCAAAATGCTTTAGCTCAAAATGTCGCACATTGAGTGGTATTTTAAGAGCACACTAGGGGTCTGGAAAAATACTGCAGTTTTTTAAAGTCAGCTTGTCTAGGGGAACCTGGGTGGCACAGTCGATTAAGCATCTGACTCTTGGTTTTGGCTCAGGTGATGATCTCATGGTCGTGAGACTGAACTCTAACTAACTAAGCTCAGCACAGAGTCTGCTTGGGATTCTCTCTCTCCTCCCTCCCCTCCCACTCATGCTTTCTCTTTATCTCTCTCTCTCTCTCTCTCTGAAATAAGGAAATGTTTCTTTAAAAAAGAAGTTAGTTTATCTTCATCGAACCCCACGTTTCTCAAAACTATTTGTCATGAAACCTTTATTAAGTAAGGCCCATTAATAGCTGTGGAACTAGCATCCTGGAGATTACACTTTGAGAAACATTGCTTTCATGTGTCATTTCCCCCCCGTTGGCAGAATTGCTTTCCTTCTGCTAGGGTTCAATGTTTGGTCTTCCAAGTGGTCTATGTATCCTGCTTGAGGAAAACAGATTTGCTGATGATTAACATTTTGATAAATAGAAGGGGAGGCAAATAACATTTTTAGTGAAATGATGAACAAGGAATCATCTTTCAGTTTTGCTCATGCTCCTTAATTACATGCATGTCCCTACTTCCTGAGAAAGTCAAAACTCTTTTTAAGGTAATTTTTAAATACTCTTTAATATATTTGGATGCCTCAAATCCATTCAGGGCTTCCATCAAGACTGGAGCTCAAATCTGACTGGATAAAGAACATCTGCCCCATTTTGTCTGTGGTTGGTTCTGCAGGAGGGAGCAAATGGAGGCAACATGGAGATTTCAAGTTGTTCAGGTAAGGCTGGCAGCTGGAGATAAAAGCACTCGGCTCTTGAGCTTGAACTCAGCCTTTGCACACTGGGGTACCTGTGTTGTTCAGCACACTAGGGGGAGCCGAAGCCCTAACATTTTCCTCAGGAAATCCAAGGTCTTTCTAAACATTATTTCTCTCCCACACCTACCTATTTTCCTTCAGTGCTTTAGAGGAGTATGGCCCAGAGGGCCGTCACAGTGGGTCTATTTAAAACACAACGTGCCCACTGTGCACACAGCGTATTATCTTTCCGGAGCTCTGTGACCGGCTCCCGTGTTGTTGCCATTATTTTTAAATTACAATAGTATGTTTAAAACCGGTCTTTGTCAGATCAGATCATCTTTCCTGGGTGTGTTGTATAATCACAACATGACTGAAGTTCTGATTTGATCCTCTGGGGTAGCCTCGGGTGGTGACCTGACGGTCATAATGACCCTCAGGCAATACCACCATCTCCGCCATAGATGTAGGTAGAGACGGGTACAGTGAAACAAACAAGGGTGTAGGAATAAGTTAAGAATCCCATATCACTCTTCAGCAAGGCAGTCCAAAATAGAAAAATAGTCCAATAACTCTCAATTCAAGTATTTCTAATGTATAAAAATTGATTGGCAGGCATAGGAGCTTAACTCTGGAGAAGGTGAGAGATCAGTGAAGACGTGAACAGGGAGGTTTCATGTAGAATTTGTCTCCCCTCCAGGGACAGCAGAACTTGTATAAAAAATAGCAGGGCAGATCTAAAGCACAGCAAAGATCTGACCTTGCAGCAGATCTACAGGAAAGGTATTCTACCCTGTTTGTGTAATAAGAAATAAAGTCCCCATGAACCTAAATAATGAACCTGTGATTGCCCACTAAGTGACAAGTCCAGGATGCATATCCTGTAAGGTGAGATAAAACTGAGCCTGACAGCCAAGGATTTTTAGAGGAAATTGTTACTTTATTCTAAGGACAATGGGGAGCCCTTTAGTCTTTCCAGAATAGAAAAGAAACCCGAGGAAATCACTTTTTTTTTTCCTAAATCAATTAGTAGGTGAGCTGATTACTCTCCCTTTGCATACCCAGAACTCTCCTCCATTCACTGCCCTTCTTTGCAGGCTCTATCTCCTGAGACCCTGAGCCCTGTGAATTTTATCACCTGGGGTCCCTGCCTACTGTCCCTTAGTTCGCTTTGTCCAATGGCTGGCATGCAGAAAATGGAGCACATCTGAGAGGAATCCTGCCTCTCACTGTAGAATGGGTGAAAGAAAGCAAGGCAAAATTCTTTTAGTCATTCCCTTATGTGCCGGGGGGATGGATGGGGGTTGGCTAAGAGACTGGAGAAGAAGGGAAGAAGGCAGAACTTAAAGATGGCTCCACGACTGATTTCCACCAATTGGAAAATAGTGTTCCCCACAAAGGTACTCTGTGAATATTTGTTTATTTGAATGGACCAAAAGGATCTAAGGGAAAATACAGCACTAACTCAGGTATGTCCAGTGTGGATAGAGATGCAAGATGTAAATGAGCAATGGGGAGAGAGAGCTGCCCTCATGAGCAGAGGATTTCAGTTTGAGACGTGTGGGTATGCTGGGTCCAGTGAGCTTGCCCATTCCTTCCTGGATTTCATTGTCCTCAGAGACAGGGTTCCTAACTGGCATTAATTACATCAATCTCTTTAGCCCTCTATGTGGCCACAGGCAGCTGGGACTGGGTCCCAAATTCCCTCCAATTGACACCCGAGTGCTACTATACAAATCTAACAATATTCTAGATGTACTATTATATGAAAAAAAAGGTTAGGAAAACCAGCTTTAATTTACTCTACCCAAAATATACAGAGTTTTGGGGTTTGATTCTCACCCCCCCACACACAGGTCTTTTCTTTCCAGGTCCTGCAGTTTCTTTTTTTTTTTTTTTTTTTACACTAATTGTTTTCTGACTTCCATGTGAGCACAAACAGACATCAGAGCACTGATTCACCATCAGTATAAAGGGGGTTCTGGTTCATTTTTCTAGCAAAGATGATGGATTAGAAACCTGCTTGTCTTAGACTGCCTCCAAACAATTTGGGTGGAAAACATGGCAAAACTGATCGACCCTAAAAGGAGATCTCTGACCTCAGGCTCATGAGCACCAGCCTCAAGCAAACTGGCCAACCATATATCCCAGGAAATGGAGGAACCATTTATTAGCATTCCCACACTGAATATTATTAACCTGTATGTCTAGAATCTCCCTTTCACTGAAGTGATTAAAAGGTAAAGGGTTTCCATAGTTATAAATACTGCTTAGTACTGGCCAGCTAAACTCTGATCAATGTCCAGGCTTTAGTTATCCCCAAAGAGGGTTTTATGTGTAAACTTGGCATTGAAATATATATGCTAAAATCAAAAGTGTCTTAAATTAATATTTTAGAATTCATAAAGTAAAAATACAAAGTGTAGTTTATTTGATTGGATAGTTTAGGAGTCAGGTAAAATTTTATTTCAGTTGAACATACTATGCCTTACTTTTCAGTTCCAGGTCACATGTTAAAATGTTTTCAAATATGTTGTATCGATTCTGTGGATAGACAGCTATAATAGACTTGGAAACTGAGGCTCAAGGAGGTTCAGGTAACACAGTAGCTGAACTGATTCTAGAACCTTCTGATTCCATTTCTATTGCTCTTTTGCCTAAATTATGCCCCCATGGCCAATGTATAAGAAATAATTTTCATGTTCCTTCATTCACTGATGTACTTATCACATAATAACTACAGGGCTCCCTTGTGAGTCGAGGGCAGTGTAACACTTGAACTGTTAGCCTAAGAGTTTGATTACAAAAATAGAAAACAGCTGCTTTTCATCTGGGGGCATTTCTGAAGCTCTAATTCCAGACACCAGCCTCTCATGGGAAGATTTGACCAGAATAAGATGTATATTTTACCTGCTCTGATCTTTACTATGCTCTACCTATTACTTTTGGGGCAAATTTTAGCTTCAAGGAAATTAAGAGAAAAATGGCAGTGAAGTTGGATTACCAATGTAAACTTGATTGAGAGGAAATGTGTGTCCCCTTTCTCCCATTCCTTGCAAATAACTGTCCAAGTTTTGGGGGCAGGGCATAAGAGTGAGGAGGGAGAGGGGGAGGACAGGAGGAAAAGATGCTGGGAATCAGGCTCTTCAAGTCCCCCCAGGCCCTCCTCAAACAATCTCCCTTCCCCAAAAGACTGCCCTTCATTTCATCCCTGGATTTCCAGGCACCTAATCCACTTGATGGTCAGGTGCGATAGGAGACATTCGTGTTTTCGTTGTAACTTGCACTGGGGCTGTTGTTAGCAAATCCAGGCCTCTAGCTATTTTCCTGACTCTGGCCAGAACACGAACTTGAAACCCGGAAGCACTGAGAGGGCAGAGGCAAGTCACTGCTCGTTTCCTCTTCTACACAGAGACTCACACCCAACAAACACCTAGGATCTCAGGGACTACGGATATTTGCCTTTGTATTGTGTCCTTTTCTCTCTTTTTAAAAAATAGCATAAAGAAAGCCGTACTGTTCAAAATTAAAGTGATTTCACACTAACACCCCAAATATGCCTCCATGATCCATATTTGGGATATTGAATTGATAGGATTTATGTCACATCAGGCAAGTGAACATTAATCAGAGGTATCTGATTTGGGGATAGGGAAGGACTTTAAAAGGTAAGCACCATAGGAGAAATCACAAAGAAAAAAAGGGAGAATCGCTGAGGCTCAAAGAAAAAAGAAGTATCACAATTAAACAGGGAGAGGCAGCCACCCAGAAGAGGGACCACCACAGTGTCTGTCTTTTTAGATCTGTTTTTGAGAGCTCTGCCCAGTATTTCCATAATTGGCCACAATAAACAGCTACTTTTGTGAAAATAAAAGTCAATTAAGCATCCAAATCTTGTTCTCACCCAACTCTTGATCCCTGCTCGGGTCTTGATCTCAGAATTGTGAGTTCAAGCCCCACATTGGGATCCTCGTTGGGCATGAAGCCTACTTAAAAAATAAATAAAATAAAATAATAAAATGGGGAAATATTTGTGGCAAAAATGGCAGAAAAAAAAGATTGAAATTACTATATAAAGAACTTCTATAAATCAATAAAAGGAGTAAATGTGTGCAAAGAACATAGTATCTCTCAGAACTTGGCTCTGCAAAAGGCTAAGAAATAAGAGAAAATGTTTATTTTCATTAATAATCAAAGAAATTTGAAGTGAAGCAAGGTGACATTGCTGTTGGTACTTCAGGGATAGACATAGTTAAGTGTGCTTACCCACAGGATGAACAGAGGGCATGATGAAATACTCCACTGATGGGAATAACATCGGTACGTTTCTAAAGAGTAGTTTAGTGATTCATATCAAACCCCACCATAAAATAAACACTTGAGATTCTAACTAGTTTGGTAAGCTCTGTCTGCTGAAAGTGCTGATTTCATAGCTATCGCATCAAATCCCAAATCTAGAATCATCTAGAGATATCAGGCATGTAGGGTCAGACGACTCAACGTCTCAATCTAAAATATTGTGATAATGAGATCTCTAAGCTTCCAAGAAATGTGAACATATCTTTTACTTGAATTAAAGTACGTAGGGTATACTATGTTGATTTTTTAAAAAAATTTAGGTCTCATTATCTTAAAGTGGGTTTGGATGTGAACTCAAAATTCTTTCCCCACTGGCTTTACCACTCTAACCAGCCGCCAAAGGGAGAACTGGCTCCATCGTGGCCTGTTTACCATACCGTCTGGGGCAGGCCATTTCTAAACTCGGTAGACAACACACTTTTTCCCATAGAAATAGTCATTTTCCACAGGATACAGGTAAAACTGGATTTGAAGTTGGAGCTTGTAGGTCGGATGAGTTGTATTTTAATTAAGCAGATCATTTGCAATTTCACTATGTCAAATATTCCTGGAATAATTAAGCCCTGCCCTGGTATTTCTAACAACTTTCATGACAGTTAAGCATTTGTTGAAATGGACTTGGCTATGTAGAGCACAAACTCATCTGTGAAGCTGATTATTCTGGGGGAGTATCCTTACCCATTTGCTGAGATTTTCTCTTTAGCAGAGCGTGGATGTCTTCAGGTTGCCAAATCAACGAAGGGATTGTTTCCTAGCTCATTGGATTAGAAAATGTTTATCTTTCATCCACTTGTAAATTTGTTATCCTAAGCATCACATTCATAAACGAGAAAAGTGACCTGTAATTTTTATGGTTATAACCAGGGTTTGAACAATCCCGTTATTGTTTATTTCTGCATAGAGCCCAGAAGACAAGTTCCATCTCCTAAATGAAAAGAAGGATCTAGGGATCCGTACCAATAACCTCCATTTGTCTCTGCTTTTTGAACTCCCTCTGTCCTGCACAGTGTCAGACACCCAGAGCCAGCCACCTTCTGGGTCAAGAAATATTGTCGATTTCTTTTATTTCACAACTTGGGTTAAATGTTATTCTTCTAGTACTTATAAATATACTTTTGTTAATTGTGTGGACTAGCTGGTTTCAGGTGCCAGAAGTCCAGCTCTAACTAGTTCAGACAAAAAGCAAATTTGTTGGAAGAATACAAAGGTATAAATCAAAGGGAGAATTGAAAAACCAAAATGCGAGAAGGACTAAGGTGAGCTGGACTCACTGGAGACCAGAACCAGGAACTACGAGGTGTCTCTCTGTCTCTCTTTCTCCTTGCAGACCAGCAGAAGTGTGTCCCCCTCCCTGTTTCAAAGCTTCTAGACCTCCCTCACTCACAGCTTCTGTCATCACAGAAGAACTGGCTGGCTCCTTGCTAGTTACAGTTCAGAAAAATCTTGAGAAAGGACACTAATTCAGCTGAGTCAGACCCACACCCCCACACCAACTGAAAGACCAGGAGGAAGATTCCTGTGGTACAGATCACATGATCCCAGAGACTGGTAAATCCTGTGAATGAACAACCACCCAGAAAAGTGACCACCACAGTGTCTGCCTTTTTAGATTTGTTTTTGAGAGCTCTGCCCAGTATTTCCATAATTGGCTACAATAAACAGCTGCTTTTGTGAAAATAAGCTGGTAAAAATAACATTGTTAAATTGGGAAAATATAACAAATTCAAAGAAAAAAATTTTAAAAATCACAAATTCACCACCCAAATAAAAGTACTATTTACATTTTAGTGCATGTCTTGCTGGTCTTTTCTATATACACACACTTTCCTATATGTAGTGAATCACTGAGATCATATCAAATGTACAATTCTACATTCTGCTGTTCATTTAAATGTAAAAAGAATACTGTTAATAACATCTTATACTTCAAAATCCCTCTAGGTCAGGGACTCTATGACCTCGACCTCAGATAATCTGTGAACTTCTTGAATTTATATGCAAAATGTTATAGGTATAACCAGACCCTATGTACTTCTCTTGGGAAGGGGTACATGCTTTCACTAGATTCTCAAAGTGGTGTGTGACCAAGAAAAAGGTTAAGGGCATTCCAATGTCCAAAGCACTTCCATGTAAATTACAACAGACTTGTAACTGATGCACATTTAATATTTTACTTTTAACCAACCTCAAGTGACCTATAGGTTCGTGGCATGTGGCAAACTATACCTTGTGAATACATGAATTTGAATCCAAATGTTCAAGCCAGATCATTGCTGGTTGGTCTTGCTGGTGTCCAGCATGTCAGCTCAGCAAAGCTCCCTTACCTTATCTTGAGGACTACTGCTCTTGCGAATATTGCTGTAGCTTGTCTGAATGCACAGTGGGGTTAACCGCTGAGGGAGGCTGAGTGGTGCAGGAAGGGAAGCAGGGGGGCCAAGGAGCCAGGGTTCTATGGAGATGAGATTATGAGACTGAATGTAGGCTCTGAGGAACGTGTGTTTTTAATACTGACGGTGAGTTCCAGAGGCACGTGTAGCACTGACTGGCCATTTTAGCTTAATCCCACTTCACCACCTGAACCACTAGGGCTCCTAGGCACTGCGCTTGGAGCAGGGACCACAGGGCAAGAGCATGTGATAGTTCAGAACCAAAAATGGATTTTTCAGGAAAATTACCGAGTTCACCTCTCTCAGTTAAGCTACATAGCCAACTGTTTTTCAAGGTTCCCCTCTGTGATGTATACAGCTTTGGTGGATTTAACCCTTCTGTTCCCTCCTTGAGTCTCCACTGGCTGATCTCCTAGGATCCTGCCAGACTCTGCTCTTGGCCTTGTGCTGCCTAGGTTCTCCTCTACCTCACAGAAGCCCCATTCTCTGTTCCTACACACTCGTGTATCTTACTCTTTGTTTTCCAACTCGATTGTGGTGTTTTACTGGGATAGCTTTCACTCTCAACAAGAAATACATATGCCATTTAAACTTGCCGAGGGTCTGGCATGGTGTGTTAGCCCAGGGAACCCGGGTCGGGCATGAACATACCCCGGCCGCTGCTGTAATGGCACGTTCTCAGGAGAGACGGCTCCTCTCCACCTGCTTTGTGTCATGGCCTCTGCCATTTAAAATGCCTCTGTTTAGTCAGATCCGTACCTGATTTGCCACATTGTTAGGTGCTCTGTCACAAACTGTCATTTTCCTCAGAAATGTGAAGATCCAGTTCTCAATTATAAAAGTCCATTGAAGTTTCTTAAGATTCAACTCTGCATCTTATGGTTTGATTCTCAGTCAGCACCTGTGAATTTAGAGTTTACCTTAATGAGGGCAAAAATAAACTGATCAAATAAGTTCATTGCTACAGAGCAAGCAACCAGGCCAAACAACTGACAAAATCCAGCAGTGATGACTGGGAATTATAAGGCTATAGTCAATATCTAACAACTCCTTTTAACGTCAACCTGGCTTTCAGACAGTGTCCCCTGGACTTTTGTTTCTTATTTTTTAAACAGTACAATTTCACCATGTCCTTATCGAAATGTGAAGAGTAATCCTGAAATTCTTTTGGTAAAGAACTTAAGTTTTTCTAAAGAAAATGACCTAGTATCAAATAAGAGCTCACTGCTAAAATAACTTTCAGTTCCACTAGAAATATATTACAAATAAACTTACCCTTCCCTAGTATTGAGCTAAAAAATTATTCTATACAGTAACCTGGGTTTAAGGACAAAGAAAAGAAGGAAGGAGAAAGAAAAAGTTTTTGAAAAATAGTTGCCACTGATTAAAAGCCTTCAAATGTCACTTAATTCTGTTTCTATCAATTTAATTGCCTATTTGATGTCAAACTCCCTATTTCTATTTTAAGTATTCACTCATTGGGTATTTTCAGACCTAATGTTGCTATCTCACAAAATTGCCTTTTATTTAATAACCAACTCTGGGACAATTAGTATATCATAAAAACATAAAGTCACCTTATCACACAACAAATGGACCTGAAGTGCAATCCAGTATTTCCAGCCAGAAGTTCACACATAAATGTTGCCACTGGGCTCTAGGTTCCTGATCCCTAGGCCTATTCCACTTTATTTTATTTTTAAAGATTTTATTTATTTATTTATTTATTTGAGAGAGAGAGAGACAGAGAACATGAGTGGGGGTTGGTGGGAGGGAGAAGCAGACTCCCTGGTGAGCAGGGAACCAAATGCTGGGACTGTATCTCAGGACCCCGGAGATCATGACCTGAGCCAAAGGCAGATGCTTAACCAACCGAACCACTCAGGAGCCTCAGGTCTATCCCTCTTTAATTTTTTTTTTTTTGGCTCAGTATCCAAATTATTTATGCAATCTTATTGTATAATAGCAAAATCATCATCATCATCATCATATCATCTACCTGGAAAAGTTGTTGCAGATTGAAATATTTATTCATCCATTCATTCATACTTATGAAAGCCCTACTATGTGCCAAGCGCTCTGGTAAAGCTGCAGACTCAGCAGTGAGCAAGATAAAGTCTCTGATCTCAAGAAGCTAACATTCTAGGCAGAAGAAGTTCTCATTTCCATTTTCCTTCCTGGATTCCATTTCTTTCCCTGATTAACACACAAACAAGGTAATCTGGTAATGATAAATAATTATAAAGAAAATAAAACAGGGTGACAGGACAAAAGATCATCAATGGGGGTAGGCTTTAGTTTGACATTCAATTTGTTTAAATAATTCTTACAATCTCAGGAAAAATTTCAAGTAAACTATTCCAGAAGTCAGGAAGAGAAGTATTTTTTAAAGCTGCTTTTATTTAGATTTTTAATCGCTAATTTTTAACAACTGAAAAGCAATTTAAGTTGCTTTAAGTGGCTTTTTGTGATGTAACTGAAGCAAGAGTTTCCCAATCTCTTCTCCCTTTCCAAGACTGAAGAAAACAATCTAGAAATCTAATTTCATTGATACTAACAATCAGAGCAGCTCCTAAAGGACCTGTGGTCACTTTCTAACCACACAGCCATGAAAATAAGATCCTAAATACCATTCTGCATTACAACTGTCTCACTTCAATAAGTGCAAATGGAAGGAGAGAAAAACCTAGATAGTGTACCCATGGAGTGCTCGTCTACTTCCCTCCCTGTGAGTCCCCTTTTACTCTGTTCTGGGAATCCACATATTTCCTTCATGTCAGAAAGGATGCAAGAAGTAATAAACCAAATATAAAGCAAAGTTAGTTTGATCTCAATTGATGTTTTAACTCATTAAGGTTAATGGTTTCTTCTAGGCATCTTTCTTGCACACTTAAATGGCAAAAATATGTCAAAGTCATGTTCCCCTCAAGAGAAAAAGAAAGTTCAAAGAGCAAGAGATATCGTTGGTCTTAGTTTGGAGACCAAGGAATCCTATATTCTTCAACTTTTCTGGCTTTTGGGAAAATCTAGTCTCTGTTAGGTGATGCTTACTTCACCTAACAAGAGAGAGTTCATTTGGATGAAGACTGGGCTCATTAGTTATGAGAAAGAGGAAATGAGCAGCGCAGACACACAGGTATTAGAGGGCACAAGGCCCAAAATACACATCCTCCCTCCAGCTGTCATTTGCATTTGGGCTTATTTTACCATATCAACATCAGGGACCTATATAGATTATTTTAAAGATTTTGTGTATTTACTTAATTATTTGAGAAAGAGAGGGTGCATGGGAGGGGGTGAAGAACAGAGGGGGGAGGAGAGGGACTAACAGACTCTGGGCTGAGCATGGAACCCCTCCATGGGGCTCGATCCCACCGCCCCAAGATAATGACCCTATCCAAAACGAGTCAGAAGCCCAACCAGCTCAGTCACCTCGGTGCCCAACCTGTGCACAGTTCTAAGGGATTATCTCCCGGCTCCCGCCCTGACAGTGTTTCCTCTGTCACACCAGCCACCAAGTGTCCCATCACGGTCTGACAGACACAGTTTAAAGCCGCCAAAAATAAGGGTTATGGCCCCTAAGGAAAGCCAGACAATTCCAGAAGGCCAACAAAACCAGCATATGCCTAGGTGCCTGGCTCACTCCCCAGTGCCCAGGCCCGGGGGCTTTCGGTCTGCAGAAACCTTCTACCTTCCGGAAAGCCAAGCTGCCCCTCCCCAAGGCTGGGTCAGGGTCCCCTGCCCAACCCCCCCGCGCCCCCCCCCCGCCACAGGAGTCACCCCCTGCATCATAAAGGCCATCCACCCTTCTCATGCCCTATAGATCACACCCTCTGTGGGGTCAGGGGCCTGGCCCCACTTGTCTGCTTCTGGGTCCGCAGCACCCCACACAGCACTGGGAATGAAGGAACGCAGGAAGGAAAGAATGAATGAAGTGAAAGGTTCCTTTCTCAGGGAACAAAGGCAGGGTGGAGGAGATGCCATGGTAAGAAGGAGGCAACAATACGCTGGAGAGAGAGCCAGTGACAGTAGCTTGTGGCCTCTCGGAAGCCATCGCTAGAGGCCCGAAAGGACTGGCACTGCCCTGCCGAGCTGCTGGGGGATATTCCAGGCGGCTTGTATTGAAGCATTTGAAAAATATGAAAAGCAAAACCTGGAAGAGAGGAAATCATTCAATGCGGGGATCTTACTCTGAAAGAAGCAAGCAGGTAGGTCTAATAAATCAGGATTTTCCCCTGCTCCATGGTGTGTGGAATGATTTACTATGTCCATAAAGGAAATTAAAGGACTTGGAGCCGAGAGACCCTCCGGGGGCCTGAAGCCTGGACGGCGCAGACAGGGCTGTGTTTGAAGCCGTGGCTCTGAGGCCGAGGAAGTGGACGGCTCGCAGCTGCCCTGAGTCCACAGATGACAGCATTCAAAGAAGTCGCGGAGTCACTGGCAACTCTGTCCCACGGCTGATTAACACCATGGAACGTGAACCCAGAGTGGGGAAGTTGCCCATCAAGCCGCAGATTTGCTCCCTGGGTCCCCGATGGCAGGACTTCATTCAAGGGTAAGGCCACTTCTGTGGCCCCATAAAATTTCCTATCGCTTGTAAAAAAAAAAAAAAAAAAAAAAAAAGTAGCAGAATGCTTGAAACAGAGCAAACGTGCTCAGGCTTCACCATGATCAATAAGTGTGTAGAAAACAGAATAAAAGTGGTTTCGAAGAATCTTGACTTGATGAGCCCATTTTGAGTTATGCAAGAAACCAGATACTTGCAGAATCCAGAGAAGAAAGTGGAAATCTTAAAGGAGCAGGAAGCTTCAGCCTAGGGAAGGGACGACCTCTTACTGAGACGCCCTCAGTAGTTGGGTTCAAGTTCAGCGTAGTAGTCTTTGAATGGGAACCAAATGCGCATGAGCAGCGGCAGTGACACCTGCGTCACATTTCCAGCGTCACCAAGGCCACACGTGTGGCCCTGACACTAGAGCCGAGCTTTTCTTAAACTCTGATGAGTTACTTCAGATAAAGCAGAGGTCCCAGACTTTTGGAATTTATGTAACATGAAAATACTACTAATAATAATAATGATGGAAACATGGAACCAAAATAGAATGGTCAGGGGTTTTTCTTCCTGGTTAAGTCAAAGCAAAAAGGGAAAAGAAAAAGAAGGAGAAGAGAGGAGGAGGAGGAGGGTGCTACTCTCTACCGTCATGATTTTGAGGGGAAAAAACGGACAGTTTAACACCAAAAAAAATAAAAACAAAAAAACAAACCTAAGAACCTACTCTTCAAATTAAGAAGACATGACTTTATATTTATGAAAAAAAAGTCACTCATTTTTATTTTCTCACAGGCAGGCTTTGGGGAACCAGCAGATGGACTAGCAGAGGATATGGGCTTGGCAGTAGCAGGAGTTCGACTCCTGACTCTGTCACCTGCTTACTAACTGGGGCAGGTTGCTTCCAGTCCCTACCACTTAAGCACTTTTTTCTGGGAAGAAGGGATGCTCACTTAAGGGCAGGAAATGAATAATAAGGAAATGAATCTGTCACATTAGGGAGCCAAGGGGAGAGAGGAAAGGTCTCCCTTAGTACTCCCACCTCTGAAGCTGCTCCTCTTCTGCACCACAAACCCTGAGATCACGACTTAAGCTGAAACCAAGAATTTGCCACTTAAGTAACTGCATCACCCAGGGACCCCAGATGAGGTCAAGTTTAACTTGTTTAATGAGACTCCCTAACAGGGAAGAGGACAAGATCCCGCAAAACCTAGGACAAGGCAGGGAGGGTTGTGGTGTTAAACTGTTAAATCATTTTGTTCTTAACATCTGAGTCTCAAATCCAGAGCCTAAGCATTTTCCTTTAAAATCTGCGTGCCGTGTGTCTGCAGGAGGGAAGTAGGGAAAAGTATGATCACGCTTTACTCTCTCTCTACATTTTACAGCCACATGTTATACTCTGATGTAAATCTTGCAGCTAGAATATAAGATGTTCACAGCCAAATCCCTCCATTTTTTGGCAACACAGGCTCCATCTGTCTCTGTGGTCGACAAACAAATCAATTTCATTCTAAATCAAAATGATGGGTTTCCTAGCAGCTTTAGGGGGTTTCCAGCACTGGCCCAGGAGAATTCTGGGATGGGCAGGACGCAGAGGCCCCCTCCCACTTAACTCACCTTTTTCAGGTACCATCTCTAGTCAGGTGAGGTCAAATTTATTTATTTATTTATTTATTTATTTATTTATTTACAAAGATTTATTTATTTGAGAGACTGCAAACGAGCATGAGCAGAAAGGACAGAAGGGGAGAGAGAGAATCTGAAGCAGACTCCCACTGAGAGGGGAGCTGATCTCACGACCCTGAGATCAGATGTTAAGGACAAAATGATTTAACCTCTTCCCTGGAATACTCCAAAATGCTATTCTAAATGTTGATTTGCTCAGAATTAGAATGGAACTCCATAGCTGGCTCACTTGAGAGGAAAATCAAGGGCAAAGAACAAAGGCCCTGCCCAGGGTCACCTCGGGGACTCTCCCTGCATCTGCTGTCAGGAGAACTGCGCTCTAAACCATGCTTTGAGGGCTCATCTCTTTTGCCTGTTTCCCCATAGCAATGTCAAACTAACACCAGCCCTTGCTCTCCAACAAGATGGTTGTGAAGATCAAAGAACATTGTAAGTTTGAAAAAGTTCATAGCACTACTATGAGAGGATACCATTGTGATTATAGCCATACTAAGAAAATTTCAGGTCTATTCTTTCTTTAAAGGCCTAATGTTTAAAATTAAAATATTAAATAGAATCAGTGCTTGTCTCGGTCTGAAAGAACTCATGGAAAACTCAGCTTTCAGCCATGGAGTAACCTAGATACCCTTGAAGCTCTGCCACCCCTGAAATGCTAGGCAAGATGGGCTCCAGTGCCACTGTGAATTCCAGTCCTGCAATCTGTGGAGCCTCTACAGGATTCTTGTGTTTTCCAGAATCTTCTCATGGTCTTTCCTCACCTGAATTCCTGCTTCTTTGTGTTGAAGATTTGGGGAGCTGCGGAGGGGTGGGAGGCAGAGACAGGGAATACAGACAGGTTTTGCAAATGACATATCTGATAAAGGGTTAGTATCCAAAATATATAAAGAATTACACAACTCAACACCAAAATAATAATAATAATAATAATAATAATAATCCAATTTAAAAACAGGCAG